ACGACGAAAAGGAACTCCACGACGAAAAGGGACTCCAAGGACGAGAAGGGACCGAGGCGACGAAAAGGGGCTCCACGACGAATGGGGGCCGAAGCGACGAAAAGGAACTCCAACGACGAAAAGGGGCCCCCACGACGACGCGAGGGGCTCCCACGAAAAGGGGCTCCAACGACAAAGAGGGACTCGCACGACGAAGAAGAAATCACACGACGGAACGGGGCTCCACGACGAAAGGGGGCTCCAACGACGAAAGGGGCCCCGAGCGACGCGAGACCACTGGCGCGAAGAAACAACGACGCACGCGACATAAAAAGACAAGGGAAGAAATTGCAACGAACCAGAACAACTCAAGCAACAAAGGGGCGAGCCCCCCGTCCCGGCCCGAACCGCGGCAAGAGGGCGACGCGGAAGAGGCGGGGGAGGAGGCGGGGCCACGCTGATTGATTGTCGCATGGACTTTTGTTCAAAGATTTAAGCGTTCTCGCCTTTATCGGCTCCGAGCCACTGCCCGTCCAAGAGGCCGCCAAGATGGCCCCAGAGGACCCCAAGGGGGCCCCACGGCGGCCCCGAGGCCACCAAGACGGCCCCCGCTGGAGCTACACCGCGCGAGAGCGCCCCAAGAAGACCCGAGAGGCTCTCAGGAGGCCCCGAAGAAGCCCCCTGGCGGCCACAAGGAGCCCCCATGAGACCCCCTAGAAGCCCCCAGGAAGCTCTAAAGAGGCCCCACAGCTGGACTGCACGCGGCCCCGGCGAGCACCCCGCGAAGCGAGAGGAACCCACGTCCAGATGCGACGCGTCGAGCAGCAGCGATTTCTGCGGATGCTATGACGCAACGTATCCAATGAATCCAAGTACTGCGCTGGATGCGCGGGGGCGCACCCGCCGCCCCCCTCGAAGACGACGCGGCAGACCAGCGACGCAGACCCGCAGGGCAAACCGCCCGACGCCCAGTCGCTGCGCGCCCCAGACGCGCACCCCGCGAAGCGAGAGGAATCATATTTAAATGCGCGGGTTCGCGCTCTGTAGAGAATTCATCGCAGTCTACGTGCTATGAGAATGCCGAACCGAAATGCGCCGCGGAATCGCCGCGCCCCCCTCCTCGCGCTACGCCGCGATGCAAAATGGCCGGGGGGGGGGGGGGCTACGTGCGCTGCGCCGCAGACGCCGACGATCCTCACCGATTTGGTTTAGCGACCTGCCTTTCCCTTTACCAGTGGCGCGACGACATGCGCTTCCAAAGCGCATTTTGTCGCACTCGTCGCTGGATAAAGCTGCCGCGAATGACGCAGCGCCTTCACGGCGAAATCCTCTCCACTGTCCACGCGCGCCCTTGCCCCGCCCCCCCGCGCGCCGCGGGTGCCCGGTATGTCTCCGCGCTCGGAGCGCAGGCTGCTCCCCGTGGGCCCCCTCCGCATCCCCTCGGCGTGGCGCGTGGCAATGTCCGAATTCCGCCTCCTGATCACTAGTAAAAAGCGTGGGTGTGCATGATCGATCTAAGATCTCACCCCCGCCGATGATTCGGCGTCGGCGCCTGTGCCGGAGTCAAACGGGGCGACGGGGTCAGCCCCACCTTGGCCCCGCAGGGTGGTCATGGGTAGCGCTGCGTTAATGGGTGGTGTCCACGTTCAGTCTGCGCCGCCAGCTGCCCGGCTGCCAGAAACCTGGCCAGCGAAAGTGGATGTAGCTTCATTGCGGCTGTCTGGCCACATGTTGTGGCCAGGTGTTATCTCGACCCCGCCGCCACTGAGGAAGCATGGCCTATCTGGAAGTTGGCGCACGACGGTGCTTGGCCGCGCCCCCGTCCAAACGCCCCACCGATGTCCCCGGGAGATCGTCCGGCGAGATGGCCGAATGATCGCATACGCTCAGGTAGCGCATTGCATTCTACTCAGAACCTGGGCATCTGGCCGGGCAGTGGCTGTAGCATCTGCTATGCCCGGGCAATCCTTGTCTGAAGAGCACGACGTAAGATTGTGGCTATCTTCAGGAAATGGGGGATCATAAATCCATCGGGCTAGACCTCCAGCCTGGCCATCTCGAGTCTAACCAATGTCGCGTCGATCCGTTCTCCAGAAAGCACGCTAAAATTAAGAAGCCATGTGCCTGGAACGAGTTAACGTTCGTCTTCTAAGGGTTTTAATGTACCACTCCAAATATACATGAAGTGTGTCATTGGGTCGGTTTTAACACCGTTGATCGGTGTGGTTGATGATATGTGATGGTATGCACATCACATCGTCCGTGCCAGTCCTCAGAGGCCTCGTTGGATGGCGGCCGCCTGTTGTCGTGGTGTGGAACGGCCGCTGGTGACGTTAAGCCACGCGTGGGCCTCCTCTAGGTCTGTCCTGAAGGGTACGTTGCCTGCAGGGCCCCAGTGAGGTCCTCGAGTTAACGCAGCGCCATCTGCACCGCGCTGCATGTGCCCTAGAACCAGCCTCCAGATAACCCATATGATGTCGAATCTGGTGATCTTAAGATAGTGACCGAAAGTATATGGTTCCTTCGGTGTTTCTGGTTTCTGTGTGTGGTGGTCGTCTGTTAGACGTCGTAGGGATCGTGGGTTCCAGTGGTAATCTGGCGAAACCGACCGTATTGCCATGCGGAATGTACGCATTACGCGGAATGTAGTGGCGCAGAGCCGTGTTGAATATGCCCACGACCGACGTAGGCAGTTGATTGGTAAAAGGAATCGATGTACTGAGATCACTAGATCCAATTCTGGATATCGACTCAGTGCTGAGCACAGACTCGTTGCCGGGTTGAATATGCCAGCTTCCAGGCTCTACTCTCCGTAGGGACGTCGGCGAATGATAGTCCAAGTTTGAGTTTCTTATTGTGCCGTGAGGAGTTTCAATCACCAGAGCTAGTCACACAAGTGTGTAACCAGCTCCGCTACCAAGTAGAAGAGAAGACATCGGAAGGCATCCTCTGCGCATGCAATCAGTGTTGAGCGGATGGGTCATACACTGATGCCGACAACATTGAGCCAAATGCCCGCGGATGCGATCGCTCCTGCTTCCTATCCGCTCGCTAACACGGCGGAAGGTCCCCTTAAAGTCCGGCAGGCGCCCCGCGCAAACGTATTGCCCCCCGATGGCCCCTGGGAACCACAGGAACTCTGGGGAAGCGCAAAAACCGCAGAGATCGACGAAGATGCTCTCGATGCTGGTGCGATCGCGGGGCCGTGACTCTCCCAAAGTCCATAATGCCCCAAGACGGACTAAGAGGGTCCTGAGCATGGCCCAAGAGGGCCCAAGAGGCCTCCGAGACCGCCCGAGATCGCTCCAAGACGCTCCAATATGGCCTACAGGCGGCCCCAGAGGCTCCGAAGAGGCCCCGCGAGAACTTCATCTCTGGGTGCCCCGAGATTCTCATTGCAAAATCTCTTGCCGTGCGTGCCTACCGCAGGCGAGCCTGACGGGGAGGGGGTGAGCGCGCGAGGGCGAATGCGGGGGTCCCGGGAAACACATGGAGGTCGACGCGGGGAAGGACCAGGACACGTCGGCACGGAGCCAGAACCGAAGCGAAACGGCCGCGCCAGGATGAACTTCAGCACAAATGCAAGCATCGGGCCGCATCAGACCGCCCGAATATCGACATGGAATCTGGTCGATCCAGCCAGAAACGATATCTCGAATCGGACCGACCGAATTCAAGGTAAGTGGGCTCTTGAGGCCGTGTGGGAGGTTTCTCGTTGGCTCTCTTTCTCTTTCTCTCCCTCTCTCTTTCTCTCTTGGGAATGCTTTGAGCGTGCTTGCTCATGCTTTCTTTAGCATACGCAGCTCGGCTGGGCCTTTGCTACGATTGCGATTGCGCAGCCAAAGGACGAACATCATAAGAAAATTGATGATCCTATACTGAGACCGAGGATTAGCAGGAAGGTGAGGAAGAAAGGGGAGATATGATAGGCAGAGAAAACGACAAGGGAGCAGAAGGCAGAGGAGGCGGGACAACGAGGAGTGAGTGGGACGAGGACGAGAAGGAGGAATCTGTTCAGGAGGGGGAACAGGTGCAGGAGGAAGAGGAGAGAGAAGAGCAACGATGAGGAAGAGGACAATGAAGAGGGTGGGGAGTGAGAGTGAGGGAGACGGGCAGGGGTGGGAATGGCGACGGGGCGAAGGATGCCGTGTTGCTGTCGGCCCCGAACCGCTTGCTCTCAGGCCATTCTCAGCAACGTCGGGGCAGGCAACGCTGATCAAGACACGCCCTCAAATATCTGGCTGGTTACACGGACGACGACGGGGATGTACGGGATGACCAGCGGCTGGGAGGAAGGACGAGGGAGAGGGCTTGAAGACTACCACGAACTGAAGCGCGTCGATGACAGATCGCCTGGCACCCAGAGCTCGAGGAGCATATATCGATCACCAGAAATAGACGCCAACCAGATAGGATTGCACCGCATCGCCGATGTATCGGCGACGGCGATGCCTCGGCGACATTGGCGTGGAGGAAATAGAGCTCCACATCGAGCCGCATCGCCGATGTATCGACGACGCATCGGCGATGCGGCACGATCGCCTCATCTGCTCCGACCCCATCTGGGAGGCCTAGAAGGAAAAAGGGAAGAACGGCGCAAACAAAGACTGCTGGAGGTTTGCCCGGCTTTCCCGGGCGCGCGGAGCGCGCAGGGGGGCTGCGACGGAGGCACCTGCCAGGGCGACCCGGCGCCGACCCACGATATCTGCAAGGACCAGCGAGGATTGATGCTCATGCTTGATTAAAACCGACCTCGGCCAGAAAAACATCCCCTCAAGAACACGAGACTCTCCGCCTGCCAACACGGACTGAACATCCAGGGGTACCCTCCCCAGGGTGCACAAGAGCATCCAACAAACACGAACAACATTAGGGTACTTTCCCCGAAGCGACATCGATCTTATACCTGAGTCCGACTGTACTTCCTCGACACGCATCGTATGAGCAGATGAGAGAAAGCAGGCCAAAATAGACGCGCTGCCCCGCCGGGGACAGACAGCCGAAAGGTGGCGGAAAGGTGCCTGTGCAGGGCCCTGCATGCGAGTGATGCCCTCAAAGAACTCCTGTCGCGCCACGGATATTGCCAAGTGCCTAGCCCACGACCGCCTCCCCTTCCTCCCCCTCCTCCTCACACAGCTTCCTCCAGCTCCCATTCCTCCTCCTCCTCCTCCTCTTTCTCCTCCTCCTCCCTCCTGCCCCATCCTCCTCTTCCGCCTCCGCCTCCTCATTCCTCAATTCATTGGGCCAAAATTGCTACGAATCCGTTTTCCTCCTCCTCGTCTGGTCCCTTCCGACTTCTGCACTCACTGCTGCGGCATGGCGCCAAGGCATGAAAATTCTTCCTCCTCCTCCTCATCATCCGCCTCCTCCTCCTCCTCCTCCTCCTCCTCCTCCTCCTCCTCCTCTTTCCTCCTCCACCCCCTCCCGTCTCCCCCCTGCATATAATCCTCTTCCACCTCCCTCCTCACACCCTCTCCTGATACTCCTCCTACGCTGATTGGGCTGCATCGGTACGGAGTCGGGATTGAGTCGGATCAGCTGCGCGAGGATGCACAACAGCGCCGTGTGAGCATCGGTCCTCATCGAGCCAGCCAGAATCGATTTTGATGCGGGTTTATCCGGGAATCCCCTCTCCCGAAGAGGGGGCCAACTATACATGGAGGCCTCCTAAATGAAATCCAGATGGTGTTGAAGGATCGCGTCGCATCGGGCTCCACATCGCGCCACATCGCCGATGCATCGGCAATGCGGCGCGATCATCTCTCCCCATCGTTTCGAACTCCATTTAGGAGCTGGAGCTCAAAACTCCTCCAGTGCGGTCAGGCAGCCTCCTGACCCCAGGGGAGGAGAAGGATGAAGAGGAGACACGAGGAGGAAGGAGGGATGCGGAGGAGGAAAGATGAGGGAGGCAGGGAGGAAGAGAGGGCAGGACGGAAGAGGGAGGAGGAGGAGGAGGACGAGGAGGAGGAAGCAGGAGGGATGGAGGAAGAGGGAGGAGAAAGAAGGTGGAAAGAGTGGAGGAGGAACGATGCCAAAACGATCCCCTGGGACTGCATTGTGTCCTCCCCCTCTTGAAGAGGAGGACGGCCACGCATCCATGCTGGCCTTGCCTGGCCAAGCACATGCATGGGCCTGCGACTGGTGCCTATGCCCTGCCAGCATGGCCTGGGGGGCATGGTGCCGTGGGCCCCTCTCCTGAGGGGCAGCGTCAGGATAGGGGGTTGGAGCTTCGGGCCTCGAGGATCGAGGTTCGCTTTCTGCACGTTTTTTTGTGTCGCCTGGGGGCGCCCTCGCAGCCGAGGCTGGACGCGCCGCGCGAGAGGTCCGAGGGCACATGTTTAGCTAACAGCGAAAACTGATCGGTTTCTACTGGGGTCAAAAGAGAGCATCCTGATTCCCAAAGGGGTCTGGGCAGATGCCGGACAGGTGCCGTGGGAATCCGGGGACTCCTTTTTGAGCGAACAGTACCGCCTTCGTGGTCTTCGAGTCCCCAGAACTCCATTCCTGGGCATGATTTCGAATGCCCGGAGCCAACTGTAGGCCACTTCGTGGTCTTCGAGTTCCCAGAAGTCCACTCCCGGGCCACATTTTGAATGCTGAGGCACGCTGATGCTGAGACTGAGGCAGGCTGGGGCTGAGGCAGGCTGAGGCTGAGGCCGAGGCTGCAGGCAGACTGAGGCTGAGGCTGGAGCAGGCTGAGGGTAAGGCTGAGGCAGGCTGAGGCTGAGGCTGAGGCTGCAGTCTGAGGCTGAGGCTGGGGCAGGCTGAGGCTGAGGCTGAGGCAGGCGGATGCCGAGGCAGGCTGAGGCTGAGGCTGAGGCTGATGCTGATGCAGGCTGAGGCTGAGGCAGGCTGAACTGAGGCCGAGGCTGAAGGCAGACTGAGGCAGAGGCTGAGGCTGAGGCAGGCTGAGGCTGAGGCAGAGGCAGGCTGAGGCTGATGCTGAGGCAGGCTGAGGCTGAGGCTAAGGCTGATGCAGGCTGAGGCTGCGGCAGGCTGAGGCTGAGGCCGAGGCTGAAAGCAGATTAACGCTGAGGCTGAAGCAGGCTGAGGCTGAGGCAGAGGCAAGCTGAGGCTGAGGCTGAGGCAGGCTGATGCTGAGGCAGGCTGAGGCTGGGGCTGAGGCGGATGCAGGCTGAGGCTGAGGCAGCCTGAGGCTGAGACCGAGGCCGAAGGCAGACTGAGGCTGAGGCTGAGGCTGAGGCAGGCTGAGGCGAAGGCTGAGGCAAGCTGAGGCCGGGGCTGATGCAGGCTGAGGCCGAGGCAGGCTGAGGCTGAGGCCGAGGCTGCAGGCAGGCTGAGGATGAGGCAGGATGAGGCTGATGCCGAGGCTGCAGGCAGACTGAGGCTGAGGCTGAAGCAGGCTGAGGCTGAGGCTGAGGCAGCATGAGGCTGAAGCTGAGGCAGGCTGATGCTGAGGCAGGCTGAAGCTGATGCTGAGGCCGATGCAGGCTGAGGCTGAGGCAGGCTGAGGCTGAGGCTGAAGAAGGCTGAGGCTGAGGCTGAGGCAGCATGAAGCTGAGGCTGAGGCAGGCTGATGCTGAGGCAGGCTGAAGCTGATGCTGAGGCCGATGCAGGCTGAGGCTGAAGCAGGCTGAGGCTCACGCCGAGGCTGAAGGCAGACTGATGCTGACGCTGAAGCGAGCTGAGGTTGAGGCCGAAGCAGGCTGAGGCGAAGGCTGAGGCAGGCTGATGGTGAGGCAGGCTGAGGCTGAAGCTGAGGCCGGGGCTGATGCAGGCTGAGGCAGAGGCAGGCTGAGGCTGAGGCCGAGGCTGCAGGCAGACTGAGGATGAGGCTGAAGCAGGCTGAGGCTGAGGCCGAGGCAGGCTGAGGCTGAGGCCGAGGCCGACGGCAGACTGATGCTGAGGCTGACGCAGGCTGAAGCTGAGGCTGAGGCAGGCTGAGGCTAAAGCTGACGCACGCTGATGCTGAGGCAGGCTGAGACTGAGGCTGAGGCTGATGCATGGGTGAGGCTGGGGCAGGCTGAGGCTGAGGCCGAGGCCGAAGGCAGACTGAGGCTGAGGCTGAGGCTGAGGCTGAGGCAGAGGCAGGCTGAGGCTGAGGCAAGCTGAGGCTGAGGCTGTGACTGCGACTGCCGTCGCCGCTGCGACTGCCATCGCGAATGCGACTACGACTGCGAGAACAGCAGAATTCTACAACTGGATTCCCATATGAATCTTAAGGGGGATGCTTCCAGATATGCTCCTACTCATCGCTGCTAGGTTGCTTTACCGGGATAATTTTTACGCTTCAAGCAAGTCTTCGATGCACGCCTGGAGTGAAACAGCCCACTGTGGTACGAAATCCCTTTGAAACATAGCGGCTCCACCAGGGAGGGAAAAAAGGGGCTCGAGGAGGGGAGAGGAGGAGGAGGATGAGGAGGAGGAGGAGGAGGAAGAGGAGGAGGAGGGACCACGAAACGAGGAAAGGAGCCCGATATATGCCATCCCATGCAGTCAAATGTTTGCAATCCCTCGGCGCGCAGCAACATAGCGCTGCGGACCGAAGAAAAAGGGACCAAACGGGTCTGATTAGCCACCCCAGGCACGGGCGTGCACGCCTACAGACAGAGATAAACAACAACATGATCAAAAACAGCGCCTGGCGGTTTAACACCAAAACGGCCAAGCACAGCCACGCGGCAAAAACTGGAGCGCGACGGTTTAACGATTCAACCGTCGGGAATCAATCGGGCGTAGCCGGAGGCAGCGTCCACCTCGCGGCGAGCTGCCGGGCGCGGGGCCACTTACGAGCCGACGCCTCCAGGGCAGCCCGAAAGAGGGCGGGCATCGAGCAGACCGCCGGGCCGGAGCTGAGCCGACGGTGCTCCAAGGCCGTCGTGGTCGCGTGTAACCCAAGCGCATGTCTCTGGAAACGGTCCCTGTCGGCACCGAGTCCGAGGAACTCTGCAAACGAATTGTGCGAAATGCCGAGAAAAGACCTGAAGCAAATTGTGCCTGAACAAGGCCTTGACAAAAATGCAGCTGGCAACGCGCTCGAGCGCGTCCGTTGGACCTGCCCTGGCACAGGAACGGGAAGAGCGCTTCAGAAACAGAAACCGAAATTACTCACACCACCGTTCGTACTGGGAGCCTTGGCGTTGAGAGCTTGTTACGTCACCCCTCGTTCTTGGGAGCTTCGGTGTTCAGAGATTGTTGCGTTGCCGCCCGTTCCTGAGCCTTGGCTGGGCCTTGGTGTCAGGAACTTGTTACGTCAGCGCTTTCTGCTGGGAGCCTTGGTCTTATCAGCTTGTTTACGTCACCGCTCGCTCTTGGGAGCCTTGGTGTGAAGAGTTTGTTGCTTTGCCGATCCCTCTCTATTTGGCGTCTCTAGGCCTTCTTGGGAGTCCTACTGGGGCCCTTGTCGGACCCTTTTGGAGGCCTCTTGGGAACCTCTTGGGGGCCTCTTGGGGCTTCTTGGGGCTCTGGGGGCCTCCTGGGAGCTTCTTGGGGCGAAAGGCTAAACTGTTCGGTTCGTGGTCCCCCTCTTGGGGCCGTCTTGGGCGTTTTGGGGGCCTCTTGGGAGCCTCTTGGGCCGTCTTGCGGCGGTTTTGGGGGCCTCTTTTTCAACGCAGTGAAAGCCGAAAAGCCTTGCATGCTAAAAAAATGATTCTTTGCCCACTGGGAATCAATGATTTTCGCCTCCTGGTGGCCTCTTGGGACGCCTTTTGGGGGCCTCTTGGGGCTTCTTGGGGGGCTCTGGGGGCCTCCTGGGAGCGCCTTGGGGCGAAAAACTAAACTTTTCGGTTCGTGGTCCCCCTCTTGGGGCCGTCTTGGCGCCCTCTTGGGCCGTCTTGAGCGCCTCTTGGGCCGTCTTGGGGCCCTCTTGGGCCGTTTTGGGGGCCTCTCGGGAACCTCTTGGGCGGTCTTGGGGCGGTTTTGGGGGCCTCTTAAGCCGTCGTCAACGCCGTGGAAGCCGACAAAACGCATATGCTAAAAATATGCGTTTCCTGTGGGAAATCGATAATGTCGGCCTCTTGGGGCCCTCTTGGGACGACCCGTGGACGCCTCTTGGGGGCCTCTTGGGGGCCTCTTGGGCCGTCTTGGGCGGTCTTGGGCTTTC